AGTTACTACTACCGGTGCCAAAATACAAGACCCGTGGTTATTTATTGAATAAAAGACAGAGACTTGGGAATTCCATCATTCGCTAGCCAAGACCTAAAGCTATACCATCATAAACAAAATCGAATTTGGGAAAAATTTTAAAGACTCGTTTTTTAGAGGATATGTGGAAACCCAGTCCGATTCTCTGAAAACTGACATAGAAATCTATGGATTCTTTTCATAGGTATAACCCGAAGTATTCTCTACAAAACCGGATCTAAGCGACATCTTGAAAGTTCATGATTCGGGAGCTACGAACGTTTTTCCTGAAGTGGTTGGATTTGTGAATGTCAGAAATGAATGAAAAGATAGGTTACACCCATTTTTGATTATTTTCATTAAAAATTAAAAATTTCATAGTTTCGTCAAAATTCATTCAACCTACTTCGAAATGTCAGTAAATACTCTATTTTATCTGCTCATTCTGATTCTATACGTAAAACAACAACAAAAAATTCCTTTAGTTATTCTATGAAGGTTTCTGCGAAACCTTTCTAGAAACTAAAGTATTTTCTGTTGGTTTTTTCAACATTTATTGAGCTTTACAATAAATGATAAAATAGAGTATTTCCCGATATTCTGAAGTAGGTTGGATGAATTTGACGGAACTATGAAACTTTCTGTAACTAAATGGCCGTTGTAAAACATATTTTTTCAGTAAAAATAAAACTATTCGTCATCCTATGAATTTACTCTCATGTGCCAGATTTTTTTTTTCTTTAACACAAAAAGGATTTATTGATAAGAAAAGAAAGAAAAAAGGAAATTTACGTTTTATCTCAAATCGTCTACAACACCTACTACAACGTCACAAGCAATTCATGTTAAGGTTTTTGTCATACATGACAAGGTGAAGAACAGAAAAAAACACAAAAGCCATTTTTTTTTTTTACTGCATCATGCATTTTTTCTCGTTTTTCTCTTGTAACAAGATGGTGTTATAAAAACAAGAAAGAAACAAATACAACATTTAAAGCAGAGTTCGAAACACACTTGCAAATAGACTGTCATTGTGCTAATTAAACTGCTAGTAGATAAATCAATTGGCTTATCGGGTTGGTATAACAGTTTCGACTCTGCATTGGCTCTGCATTGAAGGATCAATAACAACACTCGGTTCCATTTTAGGAAATAAAAGAGTTTGCAATTCTGACAGATTTCGACACTATCCGATTAAAAAGTAAATAAAATTTGTTATTTCTGATTATTGATAAGGAGAGCTATTGAGTCGGAAGTTATCTTCTAACATGTGCAGTTATTCAGAACAGTACGGTTTGATTATTTTCCGAATAAGCCTTGAAGAGCCTTGACTTAAAATTCCTTGAATTAAAAACATTGATAAATAAAGGTGAGACTTCCTAAAGAGACGCTTGTGCATCATAAAAGCTTTGTTAGCTATGAAAGTTCTAAAAGCATCTGATGAAAGCTCAAATAAATAAATGAAAGAACATATAAGCATTAATAAGACGGACCCAGTTATGAAGACTATACACTAGCAGCAAAAATTATTTGTACGATCTTGCTTCAATCATAACTCGGTAATGAAAAAAGCATTTGGCAAGTGGTTTGCGCTAAAACATTCTCCGCTTTCTCTAGTATATTTGTAGATAAGAAACGTTAGAAATATTTATTGTTGGTCTTTGCAGGCCCATTGGACAGAAAAATGAAAGCCTTCCGATGACAAAAATAATTTGTACGGTTGATAAAAATCCTTTTTCACATTGTATAAGTACCGACAAAATATGAAAACTACATCAATGGATAGAAGAGAGCGCGAGCCACATTTTGATAAAAAAATTATTTTGAAAATGGATGAAGATGGAGAGTCACACTGAAGAATATGACACTTTTGGCTTAAAGTTGCGCTTTCACCCTAAGGAAAAAGCTTTTCAAAATTCAATTATTATTCAAAATTATTCTTTTACCAAAATGTAGCCCGCGGTCTCTTCCATTCATTGATGTAGTTTTCATATTTTGTCGGTACCTATACAACGTGAAAAAGGATTTTTATCAACCGTACAAATTATTTTTGCCACCGGAAGGCTTTCATTTTTTTGTCTAATGGGCCTACAAAAAAGTAACAATGGATATTTCTAACGTTTTTTATTTACAATTATACTAGAGAGAGCGGAGAATATTTTAGAGATATATTTATTCTATGTTTGATAATCAAAGAAGATCAAAATACTGAACACATTATTTAAAGACCCAAGTGACAAAAATTAACTATATAATAAATTTTTCTTCTCACATTATATATTATCAATGCATACAACCAATAATCCACGTAAATTAGCCCTGATAATTGGCAATAATAAATATACACAAAATCCTTTAAAAAATTGTGTGAATGATGCTAATGATTTAAGTAGAGCATTGGAAAGTATTGAATTTCACGTAACAAAGAAAACAGACTTAATATATCGAGAAATGGATCAAACAATAGATAGATTTGTTAGATCAATACAGCCCAATGATTTTGTCGTGTTTTTCTTTTCTGGTCATGGTACACAGTGGGAAGACCAAAATTATTTACTTCCATGTGATGATGATCGTATATACGATCAGAATGACATGAAATATCATGCCATAAATGCCCAACGAGTATTAGAAAAAATGTCCGCCCAAGATCCATATGTTATTGTATTTTTACTTGATTGTTGTCGTAATTATTGTGTGCCGAATGCAGCTAGAAGTCGGTCAATACTTCCAAGTGGATTAAATCAAATGATAGCACCATCCGGGTCATTAATTGCATTTGCTTGTGCACCAGGTCAAACAGCATCAGATGGCTCATCCAACAATCGAAATGGAATGTTCACCACACATTTATTAAAACACATAACAAGAGAAGGTGAAGATATTGAAATGGTTTTAAGGGATGTTGCTTACGGTGTTGAAACAGAAACAAATAAAAAGCAACGGCCATATCGTACAAGTTGTATAACAAAAACTGGAGTATATTTAGTTCCACCAAGCAGAAATCCTAATGGTAAATATATGTACACTTTACTCTTATTGCGCATCTATATTAAACTAATTTTAGTCGATCTGCTTAAAAATGCTTTAATGTCTGAAATTGAGAAAGCAAAACAAAATACTTATACTTTTCCAGTAGATCAACATGATGTTGACAGGAATCAACAACCAAATAATCTTTACATGTCGCATCCTCAATCTAATCAGCAAGCAACTCCTATTAATCAGCCATACAGTCAGCAAAACTATGATCAATCATCTTGGCAACAACAAGATCTAGCGTCATACTATTATCAACAAAATCCTCCTAATCAAGACTTTTATCAACAGTCGCCTTCAAATAATTTCTCCAACCAGTCTAGGCCACCTAATTCTACTCTTGAATCTTTTTTCCACCAAATTGGAGCTTCACAATATGAAGCTAATCCAACAATAATAACTGCTAATCAAAGATCGTTTCAACCACCATCCGGCTTTACTCCGAATTACGGCGGCACAAGTTTTGGCGGCGGCGGCTATCCAGCGGACCCATCAGTAGCCTATCCACAACAACAATACCAACAACAGTATAATCAACAACCAGGTTATTATTACAATCATAATAATAATTCTTATTCCAACACACAGCAATATGGTCAACAATACTAACATCAGCAATCGTTTTATTTCTCATATGACTTCTTCGAACTGATGCTGTTTTTTTTAAGAGAGTAAATGTAAAGAGAGTATCATGGTTCACAAACGTTTGATCTCATAGCTTTTGTAGAACGTCGAGCTGAGACGATCTGAGCAAATCGTAGGTCTAGCTGTTGATGCTGAAAGTTAATTGAATTTTAGTTTCCCAGGAGAAACGTGCAAAATACGTCTTTTTTACCAACTTATTACGCTTCCCCTGGATTTCCCCTCACAGAGAAAAATCCAAGGCTGACTTCAAATGAAACAGCACTTCATATAATATTTATTTTGAGCAAAAAAAGTTTGCATGATCCAGATTTCTTGAGATACTGATTTCTGAAGAACCAGTGCTATTTGAAGTACTTTTAACGTAGAATTTCATGAAAATAATATCTTCTATACTATTTCCGATGCTGATTTCGAATATAATGTTAAAAAAATTATATGTGGATTTGTCGAGCTTTAAACCTTGGATTTTTACCTAGGATTACTCGTTTTTGACGGAAATTTTATCATTTCTGCATTTTTAAAGCCTGCTTTCGATACTGAATAGGCAGATATCTTAAGAGAGACTTCGCTGTTCGATCGAGTATCTTGCCTAACACCGGTCACGAGTGAAAAATTGATATATACTTTTTATTTCATATTCAGATTCCACTATCAAAACTGAAGTGAAAAACTCTGCCAAAATCTACGTGGAAACTGAAAATAAAAATGTCAAAATTTTTCATTTCTCCAAAAAATCTCAAAGGCGCATGGTCTGATGCAGTTTTTGACGCTGATTCCAAACATCACCTGATTTTAGTTCTTAAGTGAAGTTTTGATGACTAAAATCTCAAAAAGCTGAAAACTCGTGGTTGGCCTACCATCTTGTTTTCAAGTTTTAGAAGTTTTGCACTAGTTTTAAAATAAAGTTTTAGCGCTCAGTTCGTGAAAAATTGAATTCTCTATGTTATGTGACCTTCGAATTGTTAGCAAAATCCTGTTTAGAGGGCCAAAGGTGGCATTTTCTCGAAAATTTTGACCCTTCAAAATCCCAGTTCTCCAACTGATGTGAGTTTTAAACAGTCACTTCCTACTTCAGAAAAGTTCGGAACTACCTGATTTTGTTCACTTTTATTGGGCTTTCGAATTTGATGTTGCTCGAACAAAACGGATAAAAAATGAAGGAGTTATAGTGAAAATATTAGAGGCGGCTACTTTTTGCAAATCGACGATTGTGCTCATTTTGTAAATTCTAGAACTCAGCCGGAATAAGTCAGAAAATTTTTTCATATTTTTCATAACCCCAGTTTTGATAGCAGAATCTGAATATGAAATAAAAAGTATATGTTAATTTTTCACTCGTGACTTGATTTCTTGATGGGCTGGCGAACACTCTCTTAATTTACTCTGTATTTATTTTGGGAACATGGAAATCGCTAGACAGCAGCAGAATAATGCATAGAAAGAAAGAAAAGTTCCGACTATTGAAATGTTCAACTGTATATGAAGTTATGACTATTCAACTAAAGGTTGAATATTATCGTGTTAAGGTTGACTAATTCTATATTTTTGTTTTTGTCTAATATCTGGAGTCAGTGGATTGACTAGAGAATATAAGATTGAGTCAGATTCAACTAGAAATTCATCAGCTGTTGAAGGAAATGTGAAGATTAGTCGTGAATCTGGTGTATGTAAACGGCTTAAGAAATTTCGTTCGAGAATTAATCAACATATATCACTTTAGTCTAGCACCATTTGTTGTCGTATTCGGCAACGACAAAGCAGTCTGTTATTGCATGTGGTCGTTGCAAAGTTTTTGTCCAAACATTCTCACAAAATCAAACAAACTGGAATAGTAGTCGGCTCAGCAACGAAGAGTCTACGAAAGACTGAACGTTGTACGAACATATTTTATTAACGTGCACAAACCGGAATGAAAAAGTTCAGAAATGGTAAAATTTCCATCAAAAACGAGCCACCCTAGGCGAATATCGGAGGTCTATACCTCGAAAAATCAGAATGTACTTTTCATAGTTTCTTAAGTCGAAAGAAAAGCATTGTTTATACTTCAAAAAAACCTGATTTCTCATCTTCCCTGATGAGATTTATTTGATGCATTTGTTTTTCTTACAAGACGCGCGTAATTCAAAAATCAAGTACTATTTTATTTTTAGCTTTATATATGATTCGATAGTGAATTTGAAGCTGAGCACCAATGTCGCCTTTTTAGCCTTTCCAGTGCACGTTTGCGCGTCGAAAAATTGAAAATACGGGAAGGGTCTTAAAAGCCGAAAAACTTTCCCGTTGCGAAAAAAGTTGAACACTTTTTCTCCTTTTTATTTTGAAACTCTCAAACAGCTTTTTTCTAATTCAGCGTTGAAAATCGAATTGGAAAATGTGCCTTTTACGCTTCCCATATGTAATGTCATTCAACGAAAAACTCATCTTCAAGGATATCTCTACTTTTGGAGTTCGAAGAGACCGCTCGAATGGCGCAAGAATGAACATTCTATCTTTTACCAAAAAAACTAGATAGCTTTTGCCGATGAGGTCTCCGCTTTCGAGATATCCTTGAAGATGAACTTTTCGTGCAATGACATTACATATGGGAAGCGTAAAAGGCACATTTTCCAATTCGATTTTCAACGCTGAATTAGAAAAAAGCTGTTTGAGAGTTTCAAAATAAAAACGAGAAAAAGTGTTCAACTTTTTTCGCAACGGGAAAGTTTTTCGGCTTTTAAGACCCTTCTCGTATTTTCAATTTTTCGACGCGCAAACGTGCACTGGAAAGGCTAAAAAGGCGATATTGGTGCTCAGCTTCAAATTCACTATCGAATCATATATAAAGCTAAAAATAAAATAGTACTTGATTTTTGAATTACGCGCGTCTTGTAGGAAAAACAAATGCATGAAATAAATCATGCTGGAAATTTTTTAAATCACTTTTTAAACGCACACGTTCGACAGGTGTAACGGTTCTGAAAGATTCCGCGGGCGTTCGCTGCTACAATGATACTCGAAAAGCCGATCTAGTGTATGACATTTTGCTAATACCTCTAGTATGTATTCACAATACCTGTGTGCGAAGCTCAGTACTGTTTAAGTAGAGTAAATCAAAACAAGGCAACTAATGAAGGAATAACATTAAATATTTTGCATAAAACTGGGCCTGTTATAGCCATTGATATTGCACATATTTGTAGCTTTTCTTTATCTAACGGTATTTCTTCTGATAAATGCAAGTTAGAAGTTATACATCCACTTTTCAAAGATAGTGATAACACTCATCCAACTAATTATAGATCCATTAGCTGACATCCTGCAATGGATCTGCAATATCTGCAATGGATGGTATTCATCTTGGCCAGAACATTGTGGGATATGCTTAATTCTCATTGAATTCTACTTATGGGTTTTACAAATTTGTCTCTTATACCGGCTCGAGAACAAAAGATTCGTCGCTGAGAAACACGAGACGAAAGTTCAAAAATTCAATTATTACTCAAAAACATTAAAAGTCATTTTATAATTGGTGTTTTGACAACCTGATCGACATATGAGGGAATGCAGTTGTAACGGTTGATCGGAAATGGTTCGGATTTTTACCGACCGACAACTGCCCAGGGGAAAGAAATCGTTAGAAACGACACGAAAAGGCGTTTTCTTTGAACGTGTTAGCGGACGATCGTTAAAAGAGCCGTTTATGTGGATCATGAATTAAAGACTGTGAACACAAAGTCGTATATTCCAGTCAAAATCACAAGAATATTTCATAATAAAGTGTTTAGCTATATCAGTACGATTGCATTCTAATATGAACCGAAGTTAGTTGTTCATCTTTACATTGCAGTTGATTATAACTTAAAGATGATGATGTTAAATTTGAGTTTTTACAAGTTTCTCCATCAATAGCTAATCGAACAAAAAAAAAAGATTATCGTTTCATAAATCTGGACATGGATAAAATTTTTGAATAAAGTCACCATCACCACTTGTCTTTTCCTTTAGCCGAATCAATCGTATTAGAAAATAAGATTTTCACGACCTCCATTAGAACCTGCTCGATTTCAAATACTAAAAGGTATAGCTAATTTCTGTCGAAGAATCACTAATATTACTTTCCTTTTTAGATGCTATTCTTTCAAAATACAGAATATCATTGAATCATTGGGATGTATTTTACAAAAATGGTCTACAACAAACATTAGCGCAATTGTTATGTGATTCAAGAATAAAGTTAAAGAAGCAGCAACAAATAATGTTATCCACGCCGCTACCTCCAGCAGCAAGTACAACCATGGACACGGATAGTTAGACAGACTAGACAGGTCGAGTATATCTATGACAATTAGCACGCATTTCCAATCCCTATTCTTTTCATTGTTGATTTTAGTTTATTAATTTCTCAAGTATATGTTATTTTGATTTATCTAATAAACATAAACAATTAAACAGCTTTTAAACCAGGCAACTTTTGTATCTCTGGTGTATGATTAAAAGATTGAGAGTAAACTAACATGGAAAAGAGGCCGCAAACTAGCTAGATAAAAAAGAAAGAATCATGTTATTTGTACGTAAGATCGTATATGATCCGGCACAACCATACGTACGATCTTTTGAAATCATAGTATTTCGCACGCACAAACTTCTAAGATCAGATAAGATCGTCGTTGTACGAATCCTATAATCCGAACCCTGTGGCTTTTCCGGGCTCACGATTCGTAGACCGATCGTACCATTTCATATATATGAAGTAATATGATTATTCAAGATCATATGTGCTCATGTACAATCATACAGTATGATCATGCCTCATCTTGCACGATCCGCTCCAGGGCTGGGCAACTCCGCTGACTTTCAACTCCAACTCCGTTTTCAAATTTCCGATCCAAGTCCAGCTCCAACTCCGCTCAACGTTTTTCAACTCTAACTCTAACAGTGTCAAGTTCCACAATTCCGTGGAAATTACCAGAATTCGACACGATCAA